CTTGCAACTTAGAGCAACAGTGAAAAGTAATAACCATGCTATGACATTAATTCAGCGTTTTCCTCACCTACATTAGAAGTACTTCTAAAAGTTATCCAATGGAATAAACACTAGTCAAATGCAGTATTTTGCGATCTAGCATCATTGCTGAGAACGTTTAGGCCTCTTTAAGCACAGCCAAGTGTGTATCTAAGGAAGTAAGTGTCAAACTGATACAGATGTAATTTATCATATATTGTCAGATATATAGGAAGTTTAAATTGACCCAAATGGCATATGGATTTTCAATTTAGACAGAATTCTCTTGTGTTGATGCAAGGCCATATTTGAAGGTGTGATGAGATTGTTTGGGGATTCAGTAAATCTTTTGTCTCAATATATTATATACAGTGAAAAGAAAAATATTTTCTGAAGTACATTTAATTTTCTGTATAAAACTTTCAGCACTATAATTTGTACTTGCATCTTAGCACTGAGATTAATTTGTTTTTTAAAAGAGCTTAAAAACAAAATCCATAGTTGATTGCATTTGATAGAATTATTTGATCAGTTGTTTTATTAATTTGGCCACATCATAAATTGGAAGATAATATTAAAATGTATCTTATGGAAATAGGGTTGAAGGTGTGAACTTAATTGATCTTGCCTGGGACAGGGTTTTCTGACGGGCTATTGTGAACCTTTTGGCGCTATAAAAGGTGAGAAGTTCTTGACTAGCTGAATGACTATCAGCTTCTCAAGAAGCAATCTGCTCCATGCAGTTACAGATTATTTATTGTTTATTTGGTTATGCTTGCATCCATTGGCATCTATAATATTAGATTAAATGAGTAATAATATATGAACTTACTATCCTTTAACAAGAATTAATCAAAATTTACGCACTGTTCAAGAAATACGTATATGACTTACAATATTTGTTATGTTAAAACATGTACTTTTTATGCAAGATTTTTTTCTATTTACTCTATAAAAAATGTCCCAAACATGGGTATGTAGTTGTTAATATGATTAACATAACTTTGCACCTGACTTTATTATAGGAAATGTTGTCCTATTGGTGTTCAAACTGAATACCGGAGTTTCTAAACATTTTTATGGAAATCAACGTTGGCTTCATTAACAGCATCCATGGAAGTGGTATTAGTTGTTTGTTATTAATGATATTTGTAATAATAAGGGAAGGGGATGGGTATCCTATACTTGTAAACTAACATGTTTTCGTGTGTCTGTATTATGGTTTAACATGAACATCCTGTTTTGGTAGTTTGTACGTAACCACAATGCCACTCCTTCATCCCAGTGAACCCAACAGGATGCAGTCAGGTTATCAGCTCATGTTGTTGAAATTTTTCTGAAAATTTTAATTTAAAGATTATTCCTTAATTTTAACCGTCTTTGCTTGTGTCATAAAACAGTTTATTTTTATTCGTGTATATACAAATGTGCCACATATAACATTTTTGAACTTGTTATAACTAAACATACTGATAGTTTGACATGATTTTGTGTGGATGGCCACCTGCTTGGATTTTGAGTCTTTATATATGACTGTAAAATTGTAACGTCTTATAAATGTAATTAAACTTTTTGATCTTTAACTCTACTACAAAGATTTTAGGTTTTCTTGGAGATGTGGATATTGAATGCTGTATAGCAAGGATTAAGGGAATAAAATAAGACTTGTAAATGTGAGAATTTCAGAAAAATTAATTAGAAAGGTAAAGCAGTTACTGAGCATAGCATGCTTGCAGTTAATGACATTGTAAGAATCCAGATACCTGCAAGACAGCGAGAATACTTCATTATGATTGTGTGAAATGCTGAAGTTTTGAATTGGCATTTATAAACCTCGGTTAATTGGGACAAGGGGTAGACCTGGTGGTACCTATTCACAGAGATGATTTTATATTTGCTGTACTCCCGCTTATAGTGTGTTCTGTGAAAAGTTGGAAGATTTTTTGTTTAAGAAATTTACTGCTGGTAAGGAATCAGAAAATTAATTACTGTTATCACATATCCTGACCACTGGCCTCTTCTGAGTTGCCTCTGTGCATAGGAACTGCTTAGTTATGTCATGTCATGTCATGTCAGCACATATGTTGGAAGAGACCCAAATATTTGTCCCAAAAAAGTGGATTTTGTGAGTAATTTGAGATGACATATCATTGAAACGTAGTTACTATGAATTTTTCTTTCTATGTAATCAGTCTGGTCCTCTATCAGACTT